GCAAATGTCAACCAACACCTGCAAGGATGGCTGTACTGCATACAACCAGCTGGTGAGAAAGTTACAAGTGTAACTGATGTTCTGACAATGGTCTGATAAATTGAATTTGAGTTAGACATGGCTTCCAGTGATGAGAACAGTCATACAACATGAAAATCTGGTGTATTATAACTAGAAGACCAGTACTATTCAACAGACTCTTGTAAATTAAGAGAGTTAGCACCAGCACAGGATTTTTTGAAGAAATATGACTCAAATGAAGTTTCTGTGTCAATACTGGAGGCTCTCTTGTGCTTCTGCTGGCTGGACAGTAAGATGGTGGCATTTTCACTCAGCTGTTGTTCAGCTGTTGAAGACACTGGCTGAGCACTAGATGGTTCTGAGACTGGAATTGTGCTATGCTGCTCAGATGAAATTGCTGTGTCAATACTGGAGGCTCTCTTGTGCTTCTGCTGGCTGGACAGTATGCCAACAGCATCTTCACTTGGCTGTTGTTCAGCTGTTGGAGACACTGGCTGAGCACTAGATGGTTTCAAGACTGGAATTGTGCTATACAGCTCAGATGAAGTTGCTGTGTCAACACTGAAGACTCTCTTGCACTTCTGCTGACTGGACAGTATGGTGGTGGCATTTTCACTCAGCTGTTGTTCAGCTGTTGGGGACACTGGCTGAGCACTAGATGGTTTTGAGATTGAAATTGTGCTCTCTGCATTTGTCTGAAGCAGATTCAGATCTGTGCAATGTTGCTGGTCAAGTTCAGCAAATGATTCTTCTGCATTTCTCAATGACTTAAGAAAAGTTAGTTGCTGAATAGCTGATCTTGCTGCATGGTAGGCTTTGTGTCTCTTTTGCTCTGGAATAAATGATGAATTTTGTCTCATGGAAGTAGATGACTGAGGATGTGTTTGAGACAATGACTTGAAGCCAGATTCAGAGCTAGAACAGTTGTGTATCTTGTTATTGAAGTCATCCTCACTCTCAGAACTCTCATTGTCAATAACAAGTTCTTCATCACTGAATATTTCAATTGGATTCTGTACACTTCCAAGAGCCTTTGCCTGATATAAGTGTTCTTCTAGTTGGAATAGATGCTGAAATTTGTAAACCATGATCATGCACACATGTGTACACCATTTCTTGACATAAAACCAGACAGCTTCACAGTCAGTACTAAGAAGAAATGCAGTATGTTGCTTCACATCAGAATCACTCCAAAGTTTGATTCCCATAATGGCACCACCAACAGGATCTAGTGCAGAAATTGAAAAGGCTGGAGGGAAATGCTGATAGTTCCAATCCTCATATATATCTGAATATTGTGGGTAAAGATGTTTCTTAGACCTGCTGAGAGTTCACAACATTTTCAGATATGAAGACAGACTTCCAAGATGAGCTGGTTGCATTGATGATTCTGAGAATGAAACCAGAGACACAGTAACATGTTGGTGTGGTTTGGTTTCAGTGGTACCATGAGAAAGGAGAGGGTGCATGACCCAAATTGATGCTGGTTTCAATGGTGTCATAATCAGTTTCAATTCATTATTGGCAGTCTTTGAAGTAAAGAAGGTAAAATCAGCATCCTCATAAATTTTATATTCATTAAAGACTGTGTTCAGATGTGTTTTGAGGTGGGTTTCAAATTTCTTTGAAAGTAAATGTGCATCTGAAACAAGAATATTACAATTTTTAACATCATCAACACTCATGATAGTAACAATTTGCAAGCTCTGAACATTCTTGACCAATGAGGAAAGCTGCATTCCTTCTGCTCCACAAATGGTAAGACTGACATTGTCAGTAGTTGCATCAATGGCAGTTACAGGCTCAGGGTAGTACAACAGATTTGTGGTGTGGTCAGCTCAGAGACACACATTAAGGAGATACAGTATTGGATCCTGAGCAAGAATCTGCTGTGTGATCAAGTACAGCATTGGGGCAATCCATGGTGAAGTCATTCCACCATGAAGATCAGCACAGTGCTGGCAGTGATAGAGATACATCTGAATCTCATGCTCAGCAAATGCTGATAACTCATCAGTTCCTGCATCCCACCAATCCAATAGACTGACAACATCAATAAATTCCTGATTTTTAAAGTCACCAGAAAAGTCTTGCTCTTCCACACCACACCAAACAGCAAGATCTCCCAGAATGTGTTCATATGGTGTTTCAGGTCTGGTTAGTTCACAGGTCTTGAATTGGTATGAAAGCAATATATTTGTTGCTTGTGGTTGTTGGGCATTTGAAGTTGTCAATCCAACATCAAGCTCACTATTCTGCTGTCTTGCATTGCACAGTGGAGTGTCAGGTGCTTGTTGTGAACAAAGCTTGAAATTCTCAGCTTGCTGATTTTGTGTTGCTGAAATCTGATTATTTTCTCTTCTTTCATTTTGAGAACTAATTTGTGTCAGCAAGTTGTTCTGGGTTGCTGGCAATGCTTCATTCTCTGACATAGAGAGTCTTGACTGAACAACACTCTCATAGATTCTAGATGCCTTTGACTCTGCATCAACAACTGGAGATTCTGCTTCAGATTCTGTGGGTTGATTCTGGGATGTGCTATTGTGTTGTGTTGGGCTGCTGTTGGACAGTAGTTGGACAGATGGTCTAGATTCATCATCTGGTGGTGGGATGCTGATTGGTTCAGGTTTTTGCAAAAGCCCATCTGCATTGAGAAAGCACTCAATTTCATGAATCTGATCAGATGTTAATGATATGTATGACTCTTTGTTGTTCTGAACTCTATACAGGTCTGAAAACACAATTTGAGGAGTTGCAGACTGTCCAATTGAAGAATGACTCAAGTGCCAGTGCACTGCATTTGCAATGTGACCCATGCCTTCACTATGACTGTATTGATCAGCAATCTGGCCAAGCACATGGTTGAACTGGTTGGTCTGACTTAAATCAAGTGCAACTTCTGCCTGTTCATCCCAATGGTTTTGAATCTTCTCATGAGCTTTTTCATATTTAAACTGATTTGACTTTGCTGTCTGAGCATGTATCTTAATTGCTAATCATGTGTACTTGTATTTCTGTGACTGTGTAAACTTAATCCAGTCTTTGTCATTCTGGAAATATTGATATGCTTCAAGGACAAACTCATCAATACTCTGTTTCAGTTGGTTTATGAGAAGACCAGTTTCAGTCTGCAAGGCCTGATACTCAGCATCAGACAGTTTTGCTCACTGCTCTCTTAGAAATGGGACTATGTCTCAAAATAATGAGAAAGATTTTCCTTCTAGCAGAATGTTGTTTACTGTTAAATCAACAGGAACAACTGCATGGGTATTCAGTGAGTTTTGGTCTAGAGATGAATCCATGGCTTTCTGTGGGAGCTATGTGAAAAAGCACAATAGACATGAAATGTTAGCAAAATATACTTGAACATTAGAATATGATATCTTACTGACATTGGACAAATAATATTGTTCACAGATGGAGAGAAGCTTGAAAGAATTATTTGAGCACAACAGCAATTTATTGAAATACAAACAATGATGGAAGATGTTTATTGATGAAACTGAAATGATACAATAAGAATTAATCTTTTGATGTATCTGTCTATCACATGATCTCAGAGCAAAGAGCACCAAGATTCAACTTCATGTGATGAAGTTAATCATGTACCTGGGTACATGAAGACTAATTCTCCCCAATCTTATGTAATTCTTGATCACTCCAATCTTTTTCTATAACTAATTTGTTTTGATCTCATCTTCTTCAACTCACACTTGATTCACCCTCTTCATTCTTTTTAATGATCTCAGTGCAGTCATGCCATCTACATGATTATCTTTACAGCTGGTTGCAGCTTAAGTCTTGGACAATGCCTGTGCAAGCTGTCTGAAAACCACATCTGCAGTGTACAGCAGGAGGCAGCAGAAATGGAGAGTGAGTGCACTTATTTAATGTGGTTCAATGCTCAGGCAGGCTGGCTGATCTTCTGATGTACAAACATAGAAATGTTGCAAAGCTGAAAGCATTTCTGGATGGTGAGATTGTCATCAGATAGAAGACATGTCTTTCCCTCACACAGAAGGTGCTCAGCTGCAGCATATGAAGCAATGTCAAGCTGCATACTGTCTGATCTGTTGATCATTCTTCTGGAGAATGAAAGACCAACATCCTGCAACCTTATAGTGCTGATTGCAGACAATGGCAAGATGAATGCATTTGAAAAAACAAGTCTCAAGATCAATTTCTAAATGTTGTAGATCTGAATCTTTGTTATCCAGTCTCTCATGCTAACTGTACATTGCATTCTAATTTATGCTCTGAAGAGTCTTCTCTGCAGCCTCCACAATTCTCACAACAGCTTCAATATCTCCCACCCTCTCACAATCATATTCTCCTTTTCATCATCCCTTTCCTCTTCTTCCCCCCCTCAATATCTTCATAACCAGCCTTTTCAGCATATTCTGCTGCCACTATGTCCAGAACAGTGGCCAGAACAGATGAGGCTTTTGCAGCTGCAATGGCTGCCATCTGACTCATTTTCAAGAAGGCTGCAAGAATCTGTTGTGCCTCAGCATGGGCTGTTGCTGTCATTGTTGCTGTCTGTATGACAGTGAACATCTTTTGGACTATCTGTTCCTCCTACTCTAACTTCTTTGTCTTTTTGACAGTTGGATTTTCAGCCTTCATGAGCTCCTCAGTGTCAGTGTTGTTGGTGGTGGTGGTGGTGGTTGTAGCAGCCTTGCTGCACTTTCTCTTCTTTGCATCTACAGTCACAAACAGTTAGCTAACATGTCTTTTCAGTCTGCAGACCTCACTTACTCAGACAAAATGAACAATGATATCCACTACTATTGTAGTAGCAATTGGTGCATGCACCTTTGAGGTGCCTGGGGACAAGAACACAGTCTGTAAACAGGCTGAAGCTCTTATCACAGTGCTTGCAGTTCAGATTTTGCATAACCCCATGAGACTGTGCCAGCACATTCTTGCAGTTCCCCATTCACTTCAGGAAGGTCTCTAAGTCCTCTCAGAGAATCAGATTGTTGACATACAGGAGGGCAAGAATGTCTGTAAAGATTTTGTAGAGCTTCTCAGACATCTTCTCAGCACCATGAACAAGATGGTTCATCAATTCAACCATTATTATGAGCTGTAAAATTGCTGATTGGTAGCTGTAGAGTCTCAGTAAGTGGTTTGATTTCCTGCATATCTACCATTCTACAAATTCCCATCTTTTCATATAAGTTCTTACAGTCTATACCACATTGCTGAATGGGTATTTCTAGTTGTTGAGTTTTGTATGTTAAATAGAATCTGCCTTTTTACTACTGGCAGTTCCTGCATTGATTGTAAAATCTCAATAGAGAGTGCAGATTTCAATATATGGAGCATCTCACTTTACAGTGCAATTCACTATACCAATTCACCCTACTGAGCACCTCATGTTAAGGTGCAATTTGATATATGAATTCACTTTATGAAGATCTCACTTTACAGTGCAATTCACTATACCAATTCACTCTACTGAGCACCTCATGTTAAGGTGCAACTCAATATACAAATTCACTTTACAGTGCAATTCACTGCACTAATTCACCCTACCAAGCACCTCATGTTAAGATGCAATTTGATATATGAATTCACTTTACAGAGATTTCACTTTACAGAGATTTCACTTTACAGTGCAATTCACTACACTAATTCACCCTACTGAGTGCCCCATGTTAAGGTGCAATTCAGTATATGAATTCACTTTATGGAGCACCTCACTTTATGGTGTGATTCACTATATAAAATCAACCATACTGAGCAGATCACAAGGGGGGGTTTAGTGCTCATCTGGAGAGTCTGAAAAGCTATATAAATCCTCTCCTTCTCTCAGCTTTTTTCTTTCTCTTTTCTTTCATCTGCCAGCTTGATCTTGAGCTGGCACACTGCAGAGTCTGATACTCTCATTATAAATGACATGAGCAGAACTTTAGGTAGGCAGCATTTCAACTCTCTTCAAACACTAAAAACAGTTACTCATTTTGCAGACTAGCAATGATGCCCATAGTCATTCTCAGACTTATTTTCTAGTCAATACTGTCAGTTCTTCTTAGATTCTACAGATCATTCAAGTTATGCTCAACAGCTTCAGAGTATGCTTCCACAAGATCTCACATCTTTTGGTCAGACAACAGCCACCACTGCTTCAGCACCAAGTCATAATGCTGCATATAACATCTCATTTCTTCTTTACAAAGTGAAAAAGAAGAAACAGCATTGGCTGTGCTAGACACTAGCAATTCCATGACATATTTGTGAGATCATGATATTGAGCAAGTAAACAACTTTCATAAGTCTGATTCAAAGTGAAAATAATCTTTGTATGAAATCCTCCTGCTTCTTCTTTTAAAGGCTTGCTCTAATTATCTTTGACTAGATCTTTGGATCCAATATCAATGGAACACAGGAATAAAAAAGAGGTGCAAGAAAAGCCAAAGAATACTCACAAAAAGAGAGGCTGATCTCAAAAAACACTTTCTACTGAAAACTGCAAGAGCTGAATCTTTGGGTGGTGCTTGCACCTTCCTGGCTCATACTACATCAAATACAGAAACCACAACTGAATTGATGTTAAACACTAAAAATCATGAACAAGAACAACCTTCCAGAATTTCTACAATCTTGAGCTCAAATTAAACTCACAGTTCTTAAACAATACATTGAGAAGATCTTAGAAAAAGATTGAATTCAACACTCAAGTCATCTGTCAGTGCTGCAATATCTTCTGTGGCAATTCACTCAGACAACAGGACTCAAATGGCTCCTCCATCTATACTTTCTCAGCTTGCAGATTATCCAGCACTGCTACATCAGAATGCACCTGCCACATCTCAGAATTCAAATCAACCAGATCTCTTCCAGAGTCCATCAACAGATGGACCACACTCCACAACTCTCTTAACTCTTCCTCAGCCACCTCAAATGGTTAATCTACCACCATCAAACTCTTCCACAACTCCACTCCCTCCTGCAGCTCTAGCCTCAGATGCTGGACCCCATTCTAGATTATTCTCTCCTCTTCCATCTGTCATGAGACTCATTTCTTTTCCACCTAAAGGCCAAAACCCATTCAGCAATGGCTCTCAACCCAACTTGTCAAAAATGGTATTATACCAAGCTCCAGCCAGGCAAGCACAAGCACCACCAAATTGGCATATTACATTCTTGTCTTTTAATTCCAACCAATCCTTAGCCAACATAGAGTTGGTTGATGAAGAATATATGAGAATACATTAATCCCACAAATGATAACTGTCCTACACTGGACCCTCCCAATGAGAAGATGAATGCAAACATATCTACAGTCATTCTCTGAACTTATATACCTCAATGAAGAATATATCAGAATACATTGATACCACAAATCATAACTCTCCTACACTAGACTCTCCCAATGGGGAGATAAATGCAAACATATCTATGGTTGTTTCCCAAACTTATATGTGAACTTATACACCTCAATAAAAGATATATTAGAATACATCAATACCACAAATTATAACCCCTCTACAATGAACCCTTTCAATAAGGGGATCAACACAAACATTGATGGAATACAGGCGCAAATGGTTTTAATGTGCATGAGAAGAGAAGAAAACACCTACTGCTGGTAATCTAATGGTTGCACTGGTTCAGGTCATAGAAACATCTTAAATACAATTCTAGGGAGCTGACCTGTTGCGGGAATGTATGCAAAAGTCAAGAGTGTGAAGTGAAGCACAACTAAATTCAATTGTGGAGTTTGAACCTTTCAGCCACTGCAGAAGTTGCATTGAATGCTCTTAGATTTGCAAAATCTCTATGCAAAGAAAGTTGTCTCAATCAATGGGCCTCCAGTCCATATTGCATTTAATGGCAATTCCTGCATTGTGGACTTTAATTTTGAATTTATAAGCAATTACAAGATGCAGGAAGGTGTTTATCCTGCTGATTTCAACTTTCATGCAGGCTGTGACTGTGTTGGTGCAAAGTGTGACTTAAGCAGGTGCCCATGCCTTTCACAGGAGGAAGACTTCTGAGAATGAATCATATCTTACAGAGTTGGTGATGCTGGTGTCATTATTTTGTGTGACAATTTCATGCAACAAAAGTCAATGATTTATGAATGCTCTCCATTGTGTAATTGTGACTGGAATTGTATGAACAAGGTTGTTGAGCAAGGAAGAACCATTCACCTTGAAATATTTCAAACCTGAAATTGAGAATTTTGTATGCACAATTGTGGAGATGGGTATACCAACATTAATGCCAACATTACATGGCCAACTATAGGACTAAGGTTGGCAGATTTCATTCAGGCTGGTCAATACATTAACTGCCATCTTGGTGAAGTGGTGACAAAAGTCAAGACTGATGGCTGTGAAAGCTGCTGCCTCAAATAATGGAGTGAGCTACTTATTTTCACTAGACTTTCTTGTGGATTGGGATGATGATGATATCTATGTTATTGATGGGAGAAAATTGGATTTCATTACAAGATTTATGAATCATTCTTGCAAGCCAAACTGCCAAATGTTTCCAGTTTTGATCAACACCCAACCTGTGGCAACAACAAGATTGTTGAGCAAGGAAGAGCTGTTTGCCTTGAAATATTTCAAATCTGAAATTGAGGATTTTGTACGCACAATCATGGAAATGGGTATACCAACATTAATGCCAACATTACATGGCCAACTATAGGACTAAGATTGGCAGATTTCATCCAGACTGGTCAATACATTGACTGCCATCTTGATGAAGTGGTGACAAAAGTCAAGGCTGATGGCTGTGAAGCTGTCACCTCAAATAATAGAGCAAGCTACTTATTTTCACTAGACTTTCTTGTGGATTGGGATGGTGATGGTATCTATGTTGTTGATGGGAGAAAATTTGGTTCTGTTACAAGGTTTATGAATCATTCTTGCAAGCCAAACTGCCAAATGTTTCCAGTTTCTCACAACCATGCTGATCAACACCCAACCTGTGGCAATGGGGTGCAATGGTTCATGCTTTTTACTTTGATGGGTGGAAGGTGATTTTCCACTTCTGCAAGATAAATGCTCCAATATGATACCATTGTCTCTTGAATGGGGAAAGATGCCATGGACTGGCAAATGCTCTGTTTGGGGGTTGACAGCATAGCAGTTTGGTCCCTAGAGAGCTGATTGTCTGAGATTCAATTGGATTGCATCTTTTTTTGTTCCTTTTGGAATTTCACTTGACCAGATTGCCATCTCCCCTTTGAG